TAAAATGATTGATGCAGGTAGTTTACTGAGGTTTTTGTTTTTACACTAGATAAAGTGTTAACTATTAATTGTCAGAAGCAATTAAGATTTAATGTAATTCTGCCCAACTGTTATCAAGTATCTTAGAGAACATGAAGAGATTTTCTTTGAGTAGTTTGATGAAATACATTCTTAATGGGGGTTAATTTTATCACTGACAGTCATTTGACCTTTAGATATACTTCTGAAAGCTGTTATAAAGAACCACAGTTTCACTAATATGGATTGACAATGACTGTCTTGAAAGAACAGGTTAAATGTGATAGGGAACATGTAGACTGACTTTGGAAGTCCAGGTGAGATATTTTGGAACCATAAATGAAAAAAGATAGATTCTGGAAAATAGCTTTAGAATAAGCATTAGCCTCTAACGATATGCATTCCTAAGTCATCTTTATTTGATTTTGAACTAGAATTTTTATATAATATTCTCTGTTTTGTTAGTGGGAGAGATGTTTGAGATTCCCCTGAGCAGGTGAACCTACCTATAAGCATAGGTACTGAGATTTAGTCTTTAAGCACTTAACACTTGTTTCTAAGAGGGGCTATCTATAAGCAGCCTATGTGATTGGGGATAGAGCAGCAGCAGGAAGCGAGAAATTGGAAATTGAGGACCCTGAATTCCCAAATAAGGAAGGTTTCCTGTTCTTATATTTAAATGTGGGTTTGAGCTGAGAATTTACAATGCTTTAGAATAGTAGCTTTTTCATGTTTTACTGAAATCATAAAGAAGATTAGTTTTTTCCTATAAAAATTGCCTCCTTAACTGATAGACCCTTAGTACAGAGCATTCACAGTAAAATGTATGTTCTGTTTAATACACATTACACTGTAAAGCAGTGATTGTCAAATAACGGGATTTAACATAAAGCCAATGATGGTATTAGACTACTTGATTATGAAACTGAATTAGATACTTTAAAAATTATTGAAATGAAATTCATTAAAACAATGAATCATTGAAGGATATTTTGTATATAAGGAATCAAAATAGTAAATAATTGAAGGACATTTTTGTTGTATTTAAGGAAACAAAATTTGAGATAATTTTCTTCAAAATTAAAATAATTTTAAAAAATACAGTATTAGTTAAAATTTCTCTATATTAGTTTAAAATGTGAACTTTTAAAACCTCACAACTTAGAAATTTAATCATAAATTCTACTCTGAAAGCTAAAATTAAAACATCTTCAAGACCTTTCTGGATAGGTATCTGCCCAATATAAGAGTGAGGCATCCTTGGGAGTTTCTTAACATTAGGCCAGTCAGGGTTGGCTGTGGTGGCTCACACCTGTAATCCCAACACTTGGGAGGCCAAGGTGGGCTGATTTTGAGCTCTGAGGAGTTTGAGACCAGCCTGGGCAACATGACAAAACTCCATCTCTGCAAAAAGTACAAAAAAATTAGCTGGGCCTGGTGGTACACACCTGTAGTCCTAACTACTTGGGAAACTAAGGTGAGGACATCGCCTGAACCTGGGAGGTCAAGGTTGCAGTGAGCCATGATGCAGCTACACTACAGCCTGGGCGAGAGGTTTAGACCCTGTCCAAAAACAAAAAAAATTCTGATGGCTGAGCCTGTGACAAAGAAAATCATTTTCTGGTGTTAACTAAGTTATCTTTAGGAAATTACAGCATATACATTCAGACTGTGGTGATATATGGCAGTAGATTTCCTACTACTACTTTTTTTTTCTTGTTTTTCCTTTATGTTTTTGTAATACCAGTGGAACCTTTTCTTAAAATGAAACTTTAGACAAATTCAAGGCAATTATGCTTAAGGAAAAAAAAGAAGGGAACTCTTACAACTCTGTTATTTGAAACAGATCAAATTGAATGGCTCAGGGCAGGTATAGTGGCTCCACCTGTAATTTTAACACTTTGGGAGGCTGAGGTAGGAGGATTGTTTGAGCCCAGGAGTTCAAGATGAGCCTGAGCAACATAGTGAGACCCTGTCTCTATGAAAAATGTTAAAAAAACAAACAAACAAAAAAACCCACACAGGTGTGGTGATACATGCATGTAGTCCCGGCTACTTGGGAGGCTAAACTGGGAGAATCACTTGAGCCCCAGGGGTTCCAGCTTGCAGTAAACTGTGATCAGGTGACTGCATTCCAACCTGAGCAACAGAGTGAAACCCTATCTGAAAAAAAACAAAAAAAACAAAAAAAACCCTTAAGTAACAGCTTAGATTAAAACTGTCGTAATTCAAAATTATAAAAGGAAAACTGGGCGCAGTGGTTCATGCCAGTAACCCCTCCAAGGCAGGTGGATCGCTTGAACCTGGGAGTCCAAGACCACCGTGGGCAACATGACAAAACCCCACCTCTACGAAAAACACAAAAATTAGCTGGGTAGGGTGGCATGCACCTGTAGTCCCAGCTACTAAGGAGACTGACTTGGGAGAATCATCTGATCTCAGTCTGGGAGGCGAAGGCTGAGCGAGACCCTGTCTCAAAAAATAAATAAAAATAGAGAAAGAAAAATTTGTAAAGGACAGAATGCAGTTTAGCTGATGTCAACAGAGGAAATTTAATAAAGAAAAAATGAGTTTGCATGATTTGAGAGTTTTTGAAAGGTTTGATGCATCTAATACAAATTTCTTGAACACATGGCTTTCTTTGGATCTTAGTGTCAAAAATCGAAACAGCTAAAATAATAAAGTACTTGGATTTCCATATATGTCATAAGCTTTGCAAATTCCAATAAAAATTCTTAGGAACTCATGTCTCTCATGTGTGTATATATCATATTGTGGTTGTCTTTTGTTAAGTTTTTTGTTACTAAAGCTAGTTGATTACAAGACCTTAGTTAATATTTAGTATATGCCACACTTTCTTCTAGGAATTATTAATTCCCACAAAAACCCTAGAAGTAAATTCTTTTCTCATTTTCACAAATAAGGTTACTGAGGCACAGAGAGACTAACTTGCTCAAGTTTACACAAATGACAAGATATGAATGTCATATAGTAAATTCACAGCCTCTGTACATCTTACTAGATTTTACAAAAAAAAAAGAAACAAATTTTCATTTATTACTGTATAACCTTTTTATTAATGTCTCTTAATTTACCTTTAAAATAGGAGTAAAAAATATATTTTGAAGTTTTTGTAAAAATAGGAAGCACTAGAAAGTTTTCACTTTCTATTTATCTGTGTTTCAGAGATAGGATCTCACTCTGTTACCTAGACTGCAATACAGTGATGTGATCATGGCTCACTGCAGCTTCAAACTCCTGGGCTCAAGGAATCCTCCTGCCTTGGCCTCTCAAAGTGTTGGGATTACAGGCATGTGCCACCATGCTCAGCCAGATTTTACTTTTAAATATTTTTGAAAACTGTAAATATAGCCTTAATAAATTCTAACATAAGAAATTCATACAGTGTATGCTATCAGGATAAACAACAACAGTTAATAGTTCTTTGAACTAGACAATGCATTATTAAAAAAGATATGAACTTCTTTGTTGCTGAAGCAAAGCTTCTGAAGGTCAAGTTTTCTACAGGGAAAGTAATAGCCTTCTAAATCCATAGTACTTAAAAGTAGGCTGAACTGGCCTTTTCCAGTCTGAACCAATTTAATATATAGTAAGGTCACATTTCTTAATTCAGATGTGGTAAAGCTCTTTTCCCATTGAAGTCCATTTAAAAGAGAAAATAGTAACTCGGCTTATGTTTTGGCTGCTTCTAGAGTGACTTGTGAGCTTTGTAAAAATGTGTAAAATGATCAAGGACCGTTACACAAACTGTTCTACCTTTACCTGTATAAGCATATCTTGATACATGATAAAACCCGAAAGGCAAAGATCACATTTTTTACATAATGTATCTAGATTGCATTACTATCTTTGCTCTTTAAGACTTGCTATTAGATTGTTAAAATTCTGTTTTATTTTAGTAATAGTAGGTATTAATAATATCACCTTTTGGTATTCTCTTTGCAGAGTTTTCCCTCCTACCCTAATAGAAAATATACTCCTTCTTAAATTATTTAAATAATGTAAACCCATTCTTATACAAATATTTAATAATTTTATCAGAGAAACTCTTACAGTTGATGCACAGGAATTTTAAAAGGACAGGAAATAAAGCAAGATAATAATGTTGATTTATAATCAAAGAATGATTTAAGGACCAATTTCCTTAATAAATAACACCTACAACTCAATTTGAAAAAGTAACAACCTATAAAACTTAAGCAAAGAACATGAATAGACAGCTTAAAGAAAAGGAACTCTGAATATCCTTAAAAATAGGAAAATATGCTCAACTTTACTCCTATAAAAGGAAATGTAAACTAAAAAACCCTTATTCATACCATGCTGTTAAGGATGAGGCAGATCTGAATTACTAATATGAATCAATCTTAAGTTTATGTGTTAAAAAGATACACATATATGTATATGCAATGGATATCCACAAAAGGTTATATGTAAGAAACCCTCTGGAGTGGCCATCTAGGTGGCTGAGCAGAGGGATGGAGTACTTCATTTTCTTCATATCTTTTAAATATTTTTATTTCTGGTGCAACTGCCTATTTAATGTAACTAATTTAGGGGGGAAATATTAAGTCACAGAATATTAACATTTGTGAAGGACCTTTCTAAGCCATTTGGAATGGCCTAAGTTTAGCATAGCAGCCAGCTTTACATCACAGAACTGCTGCTGTTAGCCCAACTCATCTTTCACTATACCAGTAGTTCTCAACTGGGCACTATATCTTAATGGGATTTTAATAACAGATTCTGTCTTGTTCATCATTGTATTCCAATTTTCTGGCATGCAGGAGCTATTCAGTAAATGTTTGAATGAATAAACGAATTTAAGGTATAAAATATGTTTCTTTCAAAGATAGAGATGAAAATATTTTTCTTTTTTATGAAACATTTAGAAGTATATTTATAAATTTATCTATTCTAAAGAAACATTTGTAAGATATAATTTGTTAATCACTTTTCAGACATTGGCTTCATGTCCTATTGACCGAAAACCTTTTCAGGCAGTGTTTAAATTCAGTGCATTGGAAGGTTATGTTAAGGTAAGTCTTAGATTTTATTCTGCAACATTAATTATGTAAAAATTAATTTAAGCTGTTTGACTTTGATAGATTGTCAGTTTGTGTATATTTGAAATTGTTCAACGTAAGGTTTAATGTGTGATTTTTAATTCTCCTTAGCATGATAAATGTATACCTTTCAACTAGGATACTTAAATTCTGAACCTTTTTTTCATTTGCACCCTAATGAGGGCATATCCATAATGATTTATAAGATAAATCTTATAAATCTAATACAAAATGTATTAGATCTCTGATGCTCTGAAGGAAGTTTCATACTAAGGCTTAATTACAAAATACTTAACATTTTAGAATATCTTAAATGTGAGGACTTCTTCCTGTATTTCAAACAATTTTTTAATTGGATAGCACTTTGAATACTTGTTTTCCATTGAAAAAATGTTTGAAATGAAGTGTTAGATTCAAAGACTAACTCTCAAAAAACCTTAAGTCCAAAATAACTAAAACTGTTTTCCTGAAAAACATTATAATTTTGAAATTAGCCAATAAAATTAAAATCTGGTTACCTCATTGATATTCCTTTGGTGAGCCATGATTATGATTTGTGTTTATGTTAACTTTTGGCTTGCCTGAGAAAACAAAGAAAAAAAATATGTGTGAGTTGCGTAAGAGTTAGAAGAAGAGAGAAAAGGAGAAGAGTAGTAGTTAAGTATCTGAGAAAGATTTCTTGAGGTTTCACTACCAAGTCATGAATGAAAAATAGCTAAAAATGAGAGTACTCAATGTAAACGTAAGTGATGCTGTTAATGAGAGAAACAAAGCATTTTTAGGTAGCACTGTTAGTCTGTATCCACTTGGTTACTGTTGTCTATATGTAAGTGGAAAAGGCGATGGAAGCAATGTACAGTTATTTAAGCATTTGTCTTTCTCAGTGCAGGTTTTTATAATTTACTTTGATACATTTTTACCAGATGAACCTTATGCAAGTTACAAACAGAACTGCAATTCAAATAAAATGGTTTGCTTGTTGTAATTGTATAACTTTGCCATCAAAGTAAATTAGCGTATAAAAGATAAAACATTGTAGAAGTGTAATATATAAATGTGGCTTTTCCTGAAGACATATTCTCCATTTTTCCAAACCCTGTGTGTGTATGTGTTTATGTATATAGTTACACTGCTAAAGATTCATTAGTTTGAACTAGATTCCAAATATATTTTTCTGTGAAATTTCATTTTGTTGCTTAAAATAAAAATGTGTTTGATGGAGTTTGTATTTTACCTAAAGGTTTAGTACAGTGCTAATTTTATTTTGTTTAACTTAAAAGTTATTTCTTCGCTCATGAGATAGCGTCCACATTCTCTTAAATGCCTTCCCTAGACCTTTACTTCTTTCGAATCTTCACTTCATTATCTTTGCAACTGAACAATTTTTTTTTTTTTTTTGGAGGCAGAGTCTTACTCTGTCTCCCATGCTGGAGTGCATTGGTGTGATCTCAGCTTACTGCAACCTCCGCCTCCCGGGTTCAAACAATTCTCCTGCCTTGGCCTCTTGAGTAGCTGGGCCTACAGGCACCTATCACCATGCCCAGCTAATTGTTGTATTTTTAGTGGAGACGGGGCCTTCCAAAGTCCTGGGATTACAGGCATGAGCCACCACACCTGGCCGCAACTGAACTGCTTGAATGAGACAACTCCCTTTTCTCAATTCTTACTCACTTTTCAGTTTTCATAGAACATTTACCTCTATTATCTTATTTTACAAACACTGCCCTCACCAAGGTCCAGACTCAGACTTCCACATTCCATGGTTTGTTTTCTGCGTGTAGTGAGTGCTGTTGACTACCCTCTACTTCCTTCGGCCTCTAGAACATCCTTCTCTTGTGGGTATGTATGTATGTATGATTGTTTTACTTCTCTGTCCCTTCACAATCTTCTTTGTCATATCCCTGCCCTCCTTTCCTTTTCTTAATCATTAGGGCTCATAGGATCTTCACTTAAATTGTCTCAGTATACTTACTTTCTAAGTCGTCTCAACTATTATACTTCAGTAGCTTTAAGTACCGCCTATCTTTGGATGCTTCTAAAATTCTGTCACTGGCTGGGCACACTGTCTCACGCCTGTAATTCCCAGCACTTCGAGGAGGGCAGATCATGAGGTCAGGAGTTTGAGACCAACCCGTCCAACATAGTGAAACACCCATCTCCACTAAAAATACAAAAACTAGCCAGGCATGGTGGCAGGTGCTTGTAGTCCCAGCCACTCAGGAGACTGAGGCAGGAGTATCACTTGAACCTGGGAGGTGGAGGTTGCAGTGAGCCAAGATGGTGCCACTGCACTATAGCCTGGGCAACAGAGTGAGACTCCATCTCAAAAAATAAAAATAAAATAAAATTCTGACCCTATCCCATACTTCTTTACTGAGAGCCAGACCAGTATTTACAACCACTTGTACATCTCCATCTGGAATACCAAAAAAAAAAAAAAATCTAACATTAACAAATTTCAAATTAATCACATTTCCTACCCCTTTGCCCAGCCCCAATTGTTAATGGAATCACAACCCCAGTCACCAAGATCAGAAATAACTGGAACTTTTCCATTTTTCTTTCTCTCATTTATTTTTTGTTGTTGTTGAATGTCTTAAATATGTTTCTTCTTTATTCCTCCATTGTTGCCTCTTTGTAGGCCCCTATTCTGTCATCTCGCTAGTGCGGTTTGATGGAAGTATACTATAAGCCAATAAATAACTAAAATTTTTAGTAGCACCCTAAAATAATATAAAGAAATGAAATAAATTGAATGATATAATTTATTTTTAATCAATATGTCTAATGTATTCGTTCAACATGTAATATTTTAAAATTATTGAGGGATTTTACATGCTTTTAAAAAATTATACTAGGTCTTTGAAATCTTGTCTATTGTATATTTGTCAGACATTCCAATTTAGACAAGCCACGTTCCAAGCACTAGGTAGCCATATGTGGCTAGTGACTGTTGTCTTGGACAATGTAGATCTAGTCTATCTTAAGAGCTTCCTTTTTTATTTCCTGGTTTTTATAGTCTCTTCTTAATTGGTTGATTCTCCATATCGCTACCAAAGTTATCTTCCTAAAAACAAATTTGATCATCGCATTCGCTTGCTTTAAAAAGTCCACTTACTCTCTGATGCCTGTAGAATTATTTTCTTATTCAAGAAACTTTACAATCAAGTCCTAACACATTTCATCAACTTTATATCTAGCTACTCTGTTTTTCTCTGTCTACATTGGCTTCTCACGTTCCTTACAACTCTGTTCTTTCCTCCACCTAGAATTTTTTCTTAGACCAATCAATTCCTAACTATCCTTTAAGACCAACTCATACATCATCTACTCATTAAAGTCTTCTGTGACATCCTCAGTTAATTTCTGAGTCCTTCATGTATATACAAACCTGTGTTCGTATCTGTTATAAGCACTTAATTTACTTATGCTCATCTCTCACTATTTTATTTCCCCAGAGTTAAGCACACTTACTAAGCTTATGGTTTAGCATGCTTGTATGAATAAGCATATGTATTTGGACTATACTTTTTAAACAGAAAATTTTGTTTCTGTAATTTTAATCATTTCAAGGAAGAATTACAAAGTTATTGGTAATGCTGGATTGTTGCTCTAAATTGATTTTGCTTTTCTCATAGGTTCAAATAAAAAAACAACTGAGAGAAATAAAAGACAAGAAAAATGAAAACTCATTTGAGAAACAGCTCTCCTGTCATGAAAATTCTAAAAGCTGTATAAGGTTAGTGATTAACTTTAGAAGTGGAATGCAAATGAGTGGAACAGAAGTTAACTGGTACAAAAGGAGTATTCTTTAAAAAAAAAAAAATGAAGTGGGGTTTAAATGTATTTAATCACTTATTTGAAAGCACACACTTGATAATTTAAGGAGCGAAATCTGAAAATCTAATTTGAAATCTAGCTGAAATCTGAGAATCTAATTTGAGCTCTACTCTGTTTTTGGTGAAGAATTGGTTCTGGCTGGGCATGGTGGTTCACTCCTATAATCCCAGTGCTTTGGTAGGCTAAGGTGAGAGTATCATATGAGACCAGGAGTTTGGGACCAGCCTGGGGAACATAATGAGGACCACCCTCCCCTCCTCCGTCTCTACTGGAAAATAACACAAAATAAAAACAATTACAAGAATTTGTTCTTTTCAGTTTATTTCTGAATCTGTTTTAGACCAAAACTTTTGTAAAATAAAAATATTGCAGCAATGTAAAATTTCTGAATGCTGGGCAGGTGTGGTGGCTCACACCTGTTAAGGCCTGTATTTTGGGAGACTGAGGTGGGAGGATCACTTGAGCTTAGGAGTTCAAGACCAACCTGGGCAACATAATGAGACCATGTTTCTACTGAAAATTTACAAATGAGCCAGGCATGGTGACACATGGCTGCAGTCCCAGCTACTCAGGAAGTTGAGGCAGGAGGATATCTTGAATTCAGGAGTCTGAGGCTGCAGTGAACTGTGATCACACCAATGTACTCTAGCATGAGCAACAGAGCAAGACTGTGTCTCAAAAACAAACAAAAATTCTGAATGCTTACCATCATTTTTGTACTTAATCACAAACCAATATTAAACAATACATAAGCATTGGTGCTCAGACAACACTGTGAATAGCACTGATCAAGTTATTTATGGACAAAAAGTAGGAGTACCTAATAGTATAGCACAACATTCTTCATCAGTTATAATTTAAACTGCTTATTAACTTTCACATATTGCTTTCCCGTGTTGTAGCAGGTATCAGCAAGTGTTTATGTTAAAACATTTTTTAATGTATATGGGTTTCTCTTTTTTTTAGTCGCTATTAAAACCATTGCCTATTTTAACATAAATGTCTAGAAATGCAATGTTTAGTAGTACTTGAGTTTAATAGGTGTTTAACCCATTTTTCAACTAAATTGAACATGAGTAGTACACTGGAAATTAATTGATGCTTAGAATAACTTGTTCTAATACATTTGAAACTTAAGCTAATTTTGATCTGAAATGTATTTATAGAGCTGTGCAAAAGTTGTGTTTTTAAGTCAATATGTTGTCAGATTCATAATTAAATTTATGATCCATTAGTACTTTTCATCAGAATACTACTGTCTTAAAAGAGTAAGGTTATTTAGTTCCTGAAACAGTTGGCAATAGTCACTGAGGTTTATTGAAACTATCACTATTTTATAACACTGTAGTTCCTTAGATGTTAACTTTTGGTTAGTTATGGCATTCTTTGGGAATGTGAAGAATGATTCAGATCCTTTCTGCTGGAAAAATATGCATGTTTATAGACATAAATCTTTGTATATGATTTCAAGGTATTCATGGAATACCTACTCCAAGAGCTTACCCATGAGCCCCAAAGTTAATAACTGCATTAGGCCAAATTTTATAATTGTTTCTGAAAAATAGTTAATCACTTTTGGTTGTTGCATTTGTATTTACATAGTAGATAGTAGTACACCTTTCCCACTCAAGAAATAGCTTTTGGTAGAAATACAACTTATATCACTGGCCATGACAGTATCATAGATGTGCTTTTTTTCTCTGTCTCTCCCTCAAAATTACCCAATTCTCTTGGCTCTTGCTGAGAGTGTAGTAGTCATCGCAGAAAATGACCTGTAAGACTCACAGCTCTTGTTTGAACCTAACATAGTAGAAGTAGTCCCCATATTTAACTGGTTTTTCTCCGAGATTTTTCATAAGGAAATAACAGCTATGAAATTAATATTTGCCTTTGCCCACCAAGGGTTAACTTAACTATTTTTCCCAAAGTGGAAAATCCCTGTCAGCTGTTGGATATTTACATTATACTCTTTTTTGGAGTCTTGGTTGTTTTTAGTAGTCCTGTCTTTCAGTCTACTTTTTGCTGGATATGCTGGATTTTTCAACATGCAGACAAACTCCATTCAGTTTTGCCTCTCCCTTCCAAAGCAATGAAACCCTGGCACTTCTCTCTTTCGGATACTTTTTACTAGTTTCAAAGAAGGCATTACAGTGGTGTTTTGTTTCTTCATAGTGAACCTCCATTTTAAGTGGAACCGAAAGGCTTTCCTTGCTAGAATTTTCTAATGGTTCTTTTAAAAAAGGTAATTATCTACTTACTGCTACTCTGCATGGCTCAGTAGCCAGTCAGTCATACAGCCATTAAGATTATAGTTTTAAACACTGAGATGAGGCCAGACATGGTGACTCATGCCTGTAATTCCAGCACTTTGGGAGGCTGAAGCGAGAGAATCGCTTGAGACCAGGAGTTTAAGACTAGCCCGGGCAACAAAGTGAGACTTCATCTCTAGTTAAAAAATTAAAATAAAAAATAGATTAGTCAAGGCATGGTAGCTTACACCTATAATCCCAGCACTTAGGGAGGCCAAGGCAGGAGGATCAGTTGAGCCCAGGAGTTCAAGAACGGCCTCAACAACAAAGGGAAATGCTGTCTCTGCAAAAATAGAAAGAAATAAGCTGATGTGGTGGTACATGCCTGTAGTCCCAGCTACTCGGGAAGCTGAGGTGGGAGGATCCCTTCAGCCCAGGAGGTCAAGGCAGCAGTGAGCCGTGATAGCACCACACTGGTCTGGCCTGGGTGTCAGCAAAATCCTGTCTTTAAAAAAACAAACAAACAAAAAAAAAAACCCTCTACCACAAAAAAAAAAAAAAAAAAACCTGAGATAATACAACTCATTAGATATTATACTCTAACTTGTCACTCTGATATCTCATAGGAGTCTATGAGAATATCCTTAAACCATTTACTGGACTTTCAGCATAGTTACTACAATCAGTGCATAATAGATTTCATTTTGATGGAGAACGAGTTGAAAATAAGTGAGCAAAAAAAAAAAAAAAAAAAAAAAAAAGAAAAGAAAAGAAGTGAGCAAAATGATGTTTTTTTTCCTTAATTCTTTCGTGTCTTTATTGATGTTTACAGAAGAAAAGCCATCGTAAGAGAAGATCTATTAAGTGCAAACATTTGTGATTTGAAATTGATACATAGTAAGTGACTTTTTGCTTGTTATTTACCCTTTTTTGTTTGTTTGTTTGTTTGGTAATTTAATGATTGTGGCTAGACTTCTCATTAGTAACATTTTGGTCTGGAAAATAGTCCTCAGAGCTCTGCACATTGTGTTCAGTCCTACATAAATTTTGTTTTCATGGAGCCATTTTTACTGTTTTCTGCCCTTTTTTTTCCTTCTTGCTCCTCTTAAAAGGAAAGAGGTGTGTGTGGGTGTGTGTCTGTGTGTAGAAAAGAGTGTTTCACAATTTCTTGATGTTTACCAGCCTACATTTGGTCTTATTCCACTGATTAGTGTAGAAGTCCTTAGGGGAGATGAGATTAAATACCTTGTGGGCCAGTAACTGTAAGCAGTAGCAAAAGAAGTCTGTGGCAGCAAGAAACTAATTCACAGTTTCCCATCTTATATTTTCCACTCAAAGTATAATGGGTATTTCTGTCTATCCTAAATGAAATAAATGACTTCAGGCATCTTAAGTAGATACAGCATTGAGTTACAGGCCTTAGACAAGGTTAACCTTCTGGCAGAAATAGGTTTTTCTAATTATAATTTTAAAATACCTATCCAATCTAAATAGTACACATTCGAAACAGTAAAACAAAATCCCAAATCAGAATTAATCATAGATGCTTATAAATGACTATATTGAAGCACTATGGGATTAAAGATTTTCCTATATTTCACCCTCTAAAAATGAGCCCAGGCAAGAGATATGTACTTAAGAAATATTACAGAGGTAAGACTACCATAATTTAGTGGGCCAAATTATCTACAGAAAATCTGTAACATCATTTACTCTTCCTCAGCAGTAAATTTTATATTGGATCTTAGAATTGGCAAACAAATGCTATCCATAAAAATAGAATGCTAATTTACAGCAATGATAGAAAAGCAAAGTCTGTTTTCATATCTAAAACTAACAAGAGAAAAATGTCTTTTTTCTTTTTTCTATGAAAAAGTCTCCAAGTAGAGAAAAGTGTCTTTTTAACGACAGAAGCTTTGCTGCAATTTCACTTTAATAGTAAAATTTCAAAGGTTAATCTGTAAATCTAACCTGAGGGATCATGTTAATTCTAATTAAAAAAAAAACAACAGTCAACAAAACTTGATATCCATTTATGGGATTTTGTTTTACTGTTTCGAATGTGTACTCATTATACTTTGAGTGGATAATAAGAGTGCTGATACCCAGGTAATTATGAGCAGATGTCTTCACTGACCAACCTGGACTGATTTGAAGGAAACTGGGTATAGAGGATATGTTCTAAATAGGTGCCTGAAACTGCAGCTAGTACTAAGCTCTATGTATATTATGTTTTTTCCTATATGTACGTACCCATGATAAAGTTTAATTTGTAAATTAGGCACGGGAAAGATGAACAATAATGAATAATAAAATAGAGCAATTATAACAGTATACTGTAATAAAAGTTATATGAATGTGGGCTCTCTCAAAATATTTTACTGTACTTTACTCACCCTTCTTGTGATGAAGGTGGAGTGACACAGGATTTCATCATGTTATTCAGAATGGTATGCAATTTAAAACTTAGGAATTGTTTATTTCTGGAGTTTTCCATTTAATATTTTTAGACTACAGTTGATTACAGGTAACTGAAACTACAGAAAGAGAAACCGTGAATAAGAGAAGACTACTGTACTTACTGATTATCCATTTAGGTATTAAAAGTTTTGCTATATGTTACTTTTTACTAGGGAAATTTGTTAAGTCTAACATGGTCAGTTTTTCTTCCTGTATTGAAATAGATTATTTACTAGATGAAGTAGCTTATGTTTAGGTATTACGTTTGATGAAAATTACTCAGGTTTAAATTCCAGATTCATACTCGATACATACTCAGTACTGGATGTTCATACTCAGAGAGGCAAAAGGGAATTGAGATCACTCATACATTCAACAAATACTTTACTGTGTGACTCTTAGGGGTATAGTAGTGAACAAAAACAACGAAGTGCCTGCCAATAGGATCTTCTTGTAGGCCAACAAAAATATAAATATATGTAAAACAGGTGGTAATAAATGCTTTAAGGAAGAATAAAGCTGAGTAAAAGGTTAAAGGGTAATGACATTATGGAGGTGACAGTTTATTTAAAGTGTTAGGGAAACCCTCTTGAATAAAGATATATTTGAGCAGTGACCTTCAAGAAGTAAGAAGTTAAGCCATGAAGGTATCTCAGGAAAGATTGTTCCAGGCAAGGGAATAGCAAGTGTAAAAACCTGAGACAGGAATATTCTTGGAATATGTCCAAGGAATAGCAGGGAGGTTAGTGTGGCTAGAATGACTGAGTTAGATGGAGGAGGAAGAGTAAGACACAAGGTGAGATCATTTAGGGCCAGTGTGAGCTAGGAAAGTGTTTTCAGGAGTAACATGATCTGGTACATTTTAAAAGGATTACTCTGGCTGTGAAGGGAAGAAAATCATAGGAGAATAAGAGTACAAGTGGAAATTGACTAGTTAGGTGGGTTTCTTTCTTTTTGGTTCTTTTTATTTTAGGTGGTGTTTTTCTACATCACAAATTATGGTGGCTTGAGCCAAGGAGATATTAGTGGAGATGAGAATTGGTTCAATTCTGTATGTACAGTTGAGCCTTGAACAACACAGGAGTTAGGGATCCTGACCCCTGCCCAGTCAAAAATCAATGTATAACTTTTGACTCCCTCAGAACTTGACTACTAATAGGCTACTGTTGACTGGAAACCTTACAGATAACATAAACAGTTGATAAACACATTTTGTATGTTGTATTATATACAGTATTCTTACAATAAAGTAAGCTAGAGAAAGAATCTTATTAAGAAATTAAGGATGAGGAAATATATTTACTGTTCATTGAACAGAAGTGGATCATTATAAGGTCTTTATCCTTGTTGTCTTCACATTGAGTGGGCAAAGGAAGAGAAGGGGTTGGTCTTGCTGTCTTAGATGGCAATGCAGAGAAGGTAGAAGGGGAGACAAGAGAGGCAAGCACACTCAGTATAGCTTTTATTGAAAAACGTCCATGAATAAGTAGACCCTTGCAGTTCAAACACATGTTATTCAAGGGTCAGCTACATTGTACTTGAAAGATGCAGCTAACAGGATTTGTTGATGGATTGGATATAGGGTACAAGGAAGAAGGAAGTCAGAGTTGACTACAAGGTCTCGACCTAAGGAACTGGTAAAATAGAAGTTGCCAGTTATTGAGATGGGGAAGGCTGGTAGGAGAACGTCTGGCAGGGTATAGTGAAGAATTCTCTTTTAGAAGTAGAATGGGGGTGGTTTTTGGGTGTGGGGGAAATAGGGAGATGTTTGTCAAGGGATTCAGAGGTTCAGTGATGCAAGATCAATAAATTCTGGATACCTAATATATAGATGTATAGCAATGTGGATATAATTAACAGTGTATTGTATACTTGAAATTTGCCAAGCCAATAGATCTTGTATTCTCACTACACGAAAAAGGGAGAATAGTAACAGTGAGGTGATGAATATGTTAGTTTGTGGTGATTATTATCACAGTGTGTACCTATATCAGAACATCAAGTGGTATGCCTTAAATATATACAATTTTTTTCAATTGTACCTCACTAATGATGATGGGCAAATTCGTTTTTCAATACGTAAGGTGTTTACAACCATATAGAGATGCTCTGAAGAAAATCAGATGCTTACATATCATGTACAAATACCATCTATTTGTCTTCATGTTTTAGTGGTGAACAGTTTGTGTTGACATGTGTTTATTTATGCTTGACTCCTCAGTTTAATTGATGGTTTCTTCCAGTTGTTACTTCTTTTCTCACTCTTGAGTTCAGGCAAAATGTTTAAGACTATGATGATCAGATATAAGAGGTGAAACCCACCTCTACAAAAAATACACAAATTAGCCAAACGTGGTGATACATACCTGTAGTCCCAGGTAGTTGGGAGGCTGAGGTGGGAGAATCACCTGAACCTGAGGAAGTTGAGGCTGCAGGTAAGTCATGATCATGCCACTGCACTCCAGTGTGGACACCAGAGAGAGAGAGACCCTTTCTCAAAAAAATAAATAAAAGGAAATAAGACTGAAAAGGAAGATTGCTATGCATGTAGACGCAGTTGAAAGTTCTTTTCATTGGGATACAGTGTGGTGAAACTATTTTAGAAAAACTGACCTGGTTAAAGTATTCCAAAATGATGGGAAGCCAAGTAATATGTTAGAAAGTTTCTAAAGATGTCAAAAGAAGAAGTTAATAAGCTGTCCTCTGAGATTATGTATTAACAACATTTTGTAAAGTCTTTTTTAAAAGGCTAAATATCTTGTCCAAGTTCACATTTGGTAATAATTGGAGCCACCAGAATTTGATCCAGCCTTCTGACTTTATATCCAATGCCACTTTTTACCACGAAATAATGCTAAAGCATGATACTGTTGGTGTTACCTTAATTAAGCCTCTCACTTTATGGTTGTTTGCAATCTCTATAACTTAAATTACTGCCATTCTGATGGATCTCGTTTGGATGTACTTTGAAAAATAATTTTTAATGTAAAATTAGTGCTCTGTCATTTTGATAACAGAATAGCTGCCCCCCACTTACCAGTTAACTGTGATTTTTTTTTTTTTTTTTTTTTTTTTTGGCCTGACCTTTCAGAAATACAATATAGATATCAGTCTCTTTTTTTTCCTTCAGACTAAAGGTCATAAATCATAGCTGTAAGATTGGAACTTTTAAGAGTTTTAACCTTTAATTTGGACATTTCTTTAGCTTTTAATTTTTCTTTTAATTTTTACATTTCTTATGAGGTTTTCTAGACAGTATTAACAAACTGATTAGTTGGAAGACTCTAAGAGAATCCATAAGTGTAACTTGAAATTATCACATAGTTTAGGGGCAGTAATGAACCTGTCATGCAACAGAAAAGCCAGCTTGTACCCTTAAATGTTGGCATTTGATGACTAAGCAAGGAACCAAGAGAAAAAGTTAAGGTGAAGGTTGA